GTTGCCGATTATCTAAAGAGCAGAATGATGAGTAAAGTAACGTAATCTCCAGCTCTGACGAGGTGTGAAAACAGAGTGTGTGTGTGTGTGTGTGTGAGACAGAGAGCTGATTGTCTTCTTGTGCTTGCTTTGTGCTCTGCCTGACTCTGAAGCTGGGCTATGTTGAGCTGTGACGGTGTGACCTGGGGGCAGAAGGGGCCGATGTGCCCGCCCCAGAGCGGTTATGGTCAGACCCGGTGTGTAGCCACGAGGAGGGCATTGTGATTGGCCAGCCTTTCATACATGCCCAGGCTGGGGAGAGTCAAAAGAGCTTGCAATCAACGTCCCTCTTTGCGCTCTGCTGCCAACTTGCCTTGAGATGCTGGTGCCGGGGGGGCAGAAGAGGAGGCAGTGCCACAACATGCAGTTCCGAATGCTCAACAAACACGTACCAGACCATTCTGCGAGAAGATTCGTGTCGGGTCGGATCAGTGCAGACCAGCGGTCGACTGGTTTAACGGAAATCAATCTGTCCAGAAGAGGCTCAGACGCGCGGATGCCCAGAGCAACGGATGAAATCAATCCTCTGCTGCACTCTGAATGGGGTACGGTGGTCAGGGCATCAAAGGGGTATATAAGCGCGGGTTTCATGCTAGTCACTTAAGAATCAACTGAGCCTCATCCTCATCATGCGTTCCTTCCAGTGCGTCTTTGCAGTGCTTCTGCTCAGCTTCTGCGTCCTCGCCAACGCGAAGCACCAACCCAAGCACGAGTCCTACTACGAGCCCAAGTACGAGCCCAAGTACGAGCCCAAGTACGAGCCCAAATACGAGTCCTACTACGAGCCCAAGTATGAGCCCAAGTACGAGCCCAAGTACGAGACCTACTACGAGCCCAAGTACGAGCCCAAGTACGAGCCCAAGTACGAGACCTACTACGAGCCCAAGTACGAGCCCAAGTACGAGCCCAAGTACGAGACCTACTACGAGCCCAAGTACGAGCCCAAGTACGAGCCGAAATACGAGCCCAAGTACGAGACCTACTATCAACCCAAGTATGAACCCAAATACGAGCCCAAGTACGAGACCTACTATCAACCCAAGTATGAGCCCAAATACGAGCCCAAATACGAGCCCAAGTACGAGACCTACTATCAACCCAAGTATGAGCCCAAATACGAGCCCAAGTACGAGCCCAAGTACGAGACCTACTATCAACCCAAGTATGAACCCAAATACGAGCCCAAATACGAGACCTACTATTGAGCTAGCGGCAAGACAGAGTGCAAAATCTCTTCTTGTAACCAACAGGCCTATTTACATTGCTTTCCATTAAAGTTATCCTAACTTGAATCCACATATTTTTCAATTAATTTCTCTATCCAGTTTACTGATGAGCGATGCATGCATGATGGTCATATGAGAGTCGGTAGATAGATTCTGATCCTCGTTTTAGCTTACCGTTTGCACAGCATTTAGCTTTCCAAACTTTCAGGAGGTCAAAATAGAGCGAGTTCTGTGTAACCGCGCGAATCTGCGGTTGTCGTCCGGTGAGATCAACCTCTTCAACGATGTTATTTCGGGAGATGCATCAAGACCCAGTCACTTTTCGTGTCCTTAACAGTACTCAGGCTACTGCCACTTGAGACGGAAATACTGACTATACCTGTAAGTAGTATCGAATGCACCTGACGTCATGCTCGAGCCATCAAGGCTTAATGGTGCCAGGAAAATCACGACCAAGATTGCGTAATTCAGTGAATAACCGTGATTGAAATGACGAAATGTATGCCTGTACGTAGGCAAGTCAGGTTACAAGACCATCAAGCGTAACGCCTCATTCTAGACTCACTAGTGCAAGTATTCAAATGAAGGTCTCCACATACCAAGACTCATCCGCATGTAATACGAGTCAAAATTCAGTTTGTAGCCTTCAAGAGTACGCAAGACAGCGAAGTAGATGTGTCTTTACGCAACTGTTGAAGCTGGTCACATAAACCAGTTTTCTACATATTATATGACATCTATTCAGTAAATGTAGACAAAGGGAGGAATACTAAAGTGAATATTTGGGAAGCAGAGAAGAAGCAATTACTGAAATGAAGATACAAAAATCTGCCGATAAAAATTGTAAACTTGGCAGAAATGTTGGAATGCGTTAGTCAAGGGTAGGGAATATTTTTTAATTCGCACCTCAACACTACTTCTAGAAAGAGAAGTAATGTGATAATAGATTTGTGCCAGAGGGTTAAATTAGCATTTTACCAGCGGATAAACGCAACATTTAAGCCATTCTAAGTATAAACGTTTGCTTTAGAATACTGTATGATGGTCCTTACCGATTGAACTACATAAAAAGGGATAAAAATGAAACTATGATGAAATTTTTACTAAGCGCTTTCGATGCGGTTTAGAAGCTACTTATTGAAAGAGAAGTAGTGCGATGATCGATTTTGACCAGCGGAGAAAATTCGCATTTTTACATTTAAGCCATTCTAAGGATAAACCTCTACTTGTATTACACAAAGGAAGGGATGAAGAATGAACTAAACCCTTTCGATGGCATGGAAACAAGTATATGACTTCAAATATTGTGAGCACAATCTAGCTGTGAGAGTATCAACGACGCGTTTAAGCTGGTCACATCACCCAGTTTTATACGTATTATATGACATCTACTCAGTGAATGTGGACAAAGGAAGAATACTAAAGTGAGTATTGGGGAAGAAGGTAAGACGCGATTAGTGAAATGAAGATACACAAATATGGCGATGACGATTGTAAACTTGGCAGAAATGTTGGAATGCGTTAGCCAATAATAGAAAATATTTTTTTATGCGCACATGAAGTAAAGGAAAAGGGCTAAGCGATATATACACTACTTCTAGAAAGAGAAGTAATGCGATAATAGATTTGTGCCAGAGGGGAAAATTTGCATTTTTTTCAGCAGATAATCGCAACATTTAAGCCATTATAAGTATAAAATGTTGCTTTAAAATGCTGTATGATGGTCCTTACTGAGTGAACGACATAAAAAAAGGATAAAAATGAAACTATGATGAAATTTTTACTAAGCGCTTTCGATGCGGTTTAGAAGCTACTTATTGAAGAAGAAGTAGTGCGATTATCAATTTTGACCAGCGGGTAAAAGTCGCATTTTTACATTTAAACCATTCTAAGGATACACCTTTGCTTTTTAATATTGTATGATGATCCTTACAGATTGTATTACATAAAGAAAGGGATGAAGATTGAACTATTCTAAAATTTTACTAAACTTTAAATATTGTGGGCACAATCTTGCTGTTACATTATCAACGACGAGTTAAACATACCAATCGGCATCAGTCCGTGGATGCGAAAAACAATTGGGCTTCAACTTGTTGACCTCTTTTCCCTTTCAATTACACACTTTTTGACCGGGCTCAGGTTGCTATAGTTAGTTCCAGGAGGAAGCAACTTTGCCCAATGGTCAGACTTACGTGAACGTGGCGTCATGTGGACCAGTTTAAAGTGTTTTGTCTTTCTGACACGTAATGCGAGTTTTCTGGTGAGGCTTATGCTTTCACCTTGTGGATGATGACACTTTTTGTTTGCATTCCTTCTACTAAAAGCAGGATTCATTACTTTACCTTTTGGTGGGATCGAGGTTCGAATCTCTTTGCAAAAAGCCAAGAAAATAAAGAGATCACATGTGCATGAGCAAATGTCACAGTTGGAAGATAGAAAACAATTAGAAAATAAAATAAAGTGAATAATTAAATGTACAGAAAGAAGAGATTAAGGCAAAAAGTTGGACAAACTAATAGAAAGAGAGAGAAGAAAATAATGGAAAATGTAGAGGATAGAAAGTTTCCACTGCATTTTGCATGGCCTTGCTTCTTCAAAGGGCATTCATTCTCATGTCGCTAGCGCCTACAATCCCACTTAATCATAAGGTTATACTCAGTTTAGCATGTGTACGTTTTGATAATAATTTGCATTATCATGCGTCTAATCAGCCCCCTCTTACAACAGACAGACAAACAGACAGTCACACACTTGATCAATGTACTTGGATATTCCTCGATTTCTACCCCCACGTCGGTTTGGAATAGATCTGGATCCTTAACTTGGCACCTCCAATAGTGTATTCTTAAGTTATTGCTATTCCCTCACTTCTTTATCCTCCATGTAGACCCAGATTGGTTATTTTTTCCAAGCTATTTTTAGATTTGACTTCATTTCCTGCAATCGCATTTTCTTGCTTTCCATTTTCCCACATGATCCGCTTCCTGACGATGTCTCTTCCCGCTGTTGAATGAAAGTCCTTCGTCCATTTGCCCTCTTTTAGTTGTTTTCCTTCAATCTCCAAGTTTGCCCAAACAGTGGGCGACATTTTTGCCGACTCTTCCCTCTTCCAATCACCTGTTCAGCAGGTTTGCTTTGGAGAAGGTGGATCCTGTAAATATGGAGACCGAGCTGTTGTGTTCTTGTTGTGATCTGACCTCGCTTTAGCAACTTGATCGTGTTGCCAAGGTGACCCGATTAGACTCACTCTGTCCGAAGTCCTCGTCTATCCTAGTCATGATGATTACCAGAGTTGGACTGTGAATTTGGTACATTCTGTGACATGAGTGAGCATTGCCATTCATAGCTCTATGCTACAACTCGTCAAGGAGACGGGTGAACTTAATCCTAAATAGTTTTGTGATTACTCCCCCTCCTTCTGTCCTGCTACCGCCACCTAGTCCTTATTCTAGTATCTCACATCCTCAATATCACAACTTTTGACTTGTTCATCTTCGACTCGTCTAGACGAGCATGTGGCATTGTCTTCTGGAATCATCTGCATGATTCACTTTGTGTATCCTGTGCGAACTGTGAAATATTATCTCTCGTCTCCTGTTGCATGGCCACTGGATTTAGCGTCAATTTGGCTCGGATCTACAGGCCATAGCGCTGGAAACCCGTGGCGATTGGGATTACCCGACTGCCCAAACATGTAGATGTGTAGAAAAAGTGCATTTCGAAGAATCTCTTAACGAATGGAAGCGATTTGTAAGTCGACCCGTCTTGAAGTTGTGACTTTAGATTTGTGCCAATGAGTCCTCGATGAATCGTTGCGGAAAGTTCGTCCCTCGAGCAGCAGACAAGTTGAGATCAGCAAATTGTGTTTTCTGATAGTTGACGAATTCACGAGAACAGAAAAGGTGGCCGACAGCAAACATACCTTTTTCCGGTAGCCAAACAGTGTCCATTTAATAAGACAGACATGCCATGAACTGGTTGAATGTCGTCTGCTTTTCTTACATGCTCGTTTAAAAGTAAAATGGCTGCCAGTGAAGAGTGAGTTGAATGCAATTGTTGACGAACTTCTGCTTCCTCTTCCAAATAACTTCTAGTTTAAATCTTGCTCTGAAACTGTACGTCACATCACGGACGACAGGTCAGCAAGGATTCATCGGGATCGGACAAATCGAACAACCACAGCCTCCGGTAGAACCAACATATGAATCCCTTCCCTCGACTCTTCAAACGAAATGAAAGCAACTTTAACTTAAAGTTCCACAAAGCTTTTCCCTTTTAAGTGGACGTCTTTCTTGACCTGGCCCACCTTCTCGCATGAACACACCAAACGGTATTCCAACCCGGCCAGACCTTTCATAAATTGTCATTTCGACACGACTTGTCATTCCGAGGGAAAAGTCGCAGGACTCTGAGCCGAGGACTTCTTTGCACAATCCAAAAGTCTTCAGTCCAAAACAATCTTCCCACCGTTTTCCCTGCCACCAATTCACGAATTACTTCCGACTACATTTTCCTTCTGAATGAAACTTCGTGCCATAATAAATCACAATATATATATATATATATTTATAATTATATTTATATTCATATTTATATTTATATTTATATTTATATTTTATATATTCGACCATACTACCTATTTTCTATGTGCGTATT